CTAAAATTAAACAAATCACCAAAAATCAGATATTTGTTTCCCACAAGAGGCAATAAAAGAAAAATGTAGAAATGTTGAAAATACATAGATAGAAAACACGTAATAATCAAATATGAAGCAAAGTAACAAAATTAGTGATTTTTAACATGGTCAAAAGAAAAGTTAGAGCAAAAAACTACATGAGTACCAAGCAGGATTTTTAATATAAGTAAAAATAATAATAAAAGTAATGACCATGAACACAAACACAATTATTAAAATATTGCTTCAAGTTAAATGCAGCTACAAATAAAAGAATTATCAATCAATCATTCAGTAATTGTGAATGAATGTATATTAACTATCGCAAATTAACACATAAAAAACACAGATATAGAGAAGCAATATCATTAATATGGTTCATCTCATGTAAGTAAATTTGACTTTAATACCATCAAACTCCTTTCATTCACCAAAGCAGATCATATATTAAGCCAAATAAATCTTATTCTAGGCCAAGTATCATATAAGTACGTTGCCTGACCCCATTTCTATAAAATAAAATAGCAATACAAAACTTCCTCTATAAATCTCTTCTAACTAGAAAATTATTCTCTTAACTCTTAAATTAAATGGAAATTACAAGGAATAGTGGTCAGGTAAAGCAGAGTGGGAATATTGGACTGATATCAGAAGATAAGGAATATTTTAAAACTCTTTGAGCTGATTGAAAAATATGAGAACTATGTGTCAACACTGCAGAATGTATCTAAAAAAATATGTAGGCAGAAAATATAGCTTTGGATGTATTTACAAAAAAGAAGAAGAAGAAGAAGAAGAAGAAGAGGAAGAAGAAGGAGGAGGAGGAGGAGAAAGAAAAGAAAAATCCAGAGAAAAACAACAACCAAAAAAATGCAAAAAACAATTAAAATTAAAAATTTTTAAAAATTAAAAAAAAAACAACTTTTGCTTTCAAGAGTATGCCAAACAAGATGTCTAGAGAAATACTTCCAGTTCAAATATACAAAAACAGAGAAAAACAAGTCTTCAGAATTACATTAAGTGTATGGCTTAGTTGCCAGGAAAAAATTTTTAAGTATCCTCAGATACCAAAAATAGTGAGATATTGCAAATTTTGAAAGGAAAAAGAAATGCTGTAAGTAAGGTTTTTGGGGGGCATTTTCAACTTCATACATTTTGAAGGACCATGCACAGGTAGGATAATGGGTCTAGCTTGGGCCTCTCCAAGGTTAGAAGTGAGATTGAATGCTATCAATTAACCAGGACCCCTGAAAGGCAATTCCTTAAAAATTGAAAAATGAAAAAATATTGTATGTCCAGCAAAAGGTTAAAATTAGGGGTATTTACCTGTCAAGCACACTGAATGAAGGGAGAATGTAAAAGATTTGTTATTCTGAGATTTTCCAAAAGAACACTTGTACATACATCTATTTGCAACCAAAATTTGTACTATCTGTGTAGAATGGATGGGACTGGAGGAGATTATGCTGAGTGAAATAAGTCAAGCAGAGAGAGTCAATTATCATATGGTTTCACTTACTTGTGGAGCATAAGGAATAACACAGAGGACATTGGGTGAAGGAGAGGAGAAGTGAGTTGGGGGAAATCAAAGGGGAAGATGAACTATGAGAGACTGTGGACTCTGAAAAACAAACTGAGGGTTTTGGAAGGAAGGGCGTGGGGGGTTGGGTGAGCCTGGTGGTGAGTATTAAGGAGGGCACGGATTGCATGGAGCACTGGGTGTGGTGCATAAACAATGAATCTTGGAACACTGAAAAAATAGAATAAAATTTAAAAAAATATTAACTGAAATTTTAGTTTAAAGAAGTACAAGCCAGTCAGCCTTGCAAGGAAAGTTAAATCCTTTCTGGCAGAACACACCATAAGGACACAGATAAAGTTCTAATGAAACCAAATTCAAAATAGAATCACAAAATACACAAAAACCAAGAGTCATAATCAAGAGTCAGTACACAACACAACAAAGAAAGAAACAGACTCATAAATATGGAGAACCAACTGGAGGTTGCCAAAGGGGAGGGTGAGGTGGGTGAAGGGGATTTGGAGGTGCAAACTCCCAGTTATAAAATAAATAAATCACTGGAATGTGAAGTACAGTATAGTGAATACAGTCCATAATGCTATAATACACTTCTGGTGGTGAGCATTTTATATTGTATATATAATTGTTGAATCACTGTGTTGTACACCTGAAACTAATTTTATATTATATTTCAACTATACTTCAATTAAAAACTTTTACACCTTTCTAATAAACAAAAGTTAAAAAAAAAAAAGTTAAACTAAATGATCAGACCTAGCAAGTCAGCATACATTTGGAATTAATACTTAGAGAGTTTACAAAAACTCTGGGGAATGCTCTTTTCATCATTTCTCAAGGAAAGTTAACCAAACACATTTTATACAGGTACCTTGCTTTTTATTTAGTTATATTTTCCTGATTACATTAATTAATGTTTAAATTATAGAAAATTTAGAAATTTACAGAAGACTAAAGTAAGAAAACAAAAATCATCTATAGCCCCACTATTTATATATAAAGGATATACATCTAGATTTATATATAAAGGATATACATCTATATATCTAGATTACATATAAATATAATCAAACAGATTTTAAGCAACATACCTATGAATTTATTCCTATCTATTTTGAAATTTAATTTGAGATCTATGTAGAAACACGTTAACAGTAATTGGTTGAGTGTTACAAATATGCACAATCTTAATTTCTCCTTCATTCCTTTCTGTTTTTAATTTTAGATGCAGTGAAACTGTTTCATTTTATAATCAGACAAAAATGGATTTATGATCAAAGGAATATGTATCAATAAAACCAAACCAAATTTTTGTAAAAATAGCAGTAGAAGATAAGTCATAAAGGGAAGCAAGTGGATTTAAGTTCACATAAATTACAAACATTTCTCCAAACACCACAAAGCTTTTTACTAAATACAAATTAAGAAAGAAAGATCATAACACATATATGGCATGATGTTAATATATTAAGTGTCAATATTAGTAAGAAACAGCATAAGTCATGAAAAAATAGAAAGAAATAGAAAGAAAACAAATGAGTAATTCCCAAAAATTATATCCCATTGGTTAATTAATTCTGTACAAATGCTTAACCTCATTAGTAATCAACTATATGTAAACTGAAAGGTTTTTGTGATCAAAGTAACAACTGTAGGCATAATAATCTTGAATGATTTTGAGATTGAAATTAGGATGGGTTACCTTTTTTCACTATCAAAATATTAATTTACACTTGTGGAGCATAAGGAATGACAGGGAGGACATTGGGAGATGGACAGGAGAAGGGAGTTGGGGGAATCGGAGGGGGAGACAAACCATGAGAGACTGTGGACTCAAGAAACAAATTGAAGGTTTTGGAGGGAAGGGGTTGGGGGGTTGGGTGAGCCTGGTGGTGAGTATTAAGGAGGGCACGGATTGCATGGAGCACTGGGTGTGGTGCATAAACAATGAATTTTGGAACACTGAAAAAAATAAAATAAAAAAGTGGAAAAAATATTAATTTACTATTTCTGCAGGGCAACTTCTCAATTCTGCAAGGAATATATCAAATTCTTCCATATTGGAGTGTTTCTTAAAAAATAATTTCAAATACTGCACTCTATACTAGCCATATTGGACCTTCAGTTCCTGCAGTGCCCTCTACTCCTTCTTGTTTCAACACCTATACATTTGTATGTTCCCCACCCCAAATCTCTCCTGCGCTGCCCACCTTACTCTTAGGCATTATTCAGATCTCAATAACAGAAACAAAAGCATTTCAACCTCAATGGCACCTTCTCTTTTCTCAGGACCAAGTCAGATCATTTATATAGTATCCTTCAGTTTTTCTTTCACAACTCCACCAATAAAATTGTCTAAGTTATTATTTGCTATTTATTTGCTTTTCTACTAGAATATCTTATTCCTTATGCTGGCCTCTTGTTCAGTACTATAGCCTCAGCCCCTAGCAGAGCTAGTGTTCAAAAACTATTTGAATGAAATAAGTACTTATATTTAGAAATCTTCTAGACCTCAGGTCATAGTATAAGATCGATGCACTTCTGCAAGTGACCAAAATAAGTTACTTGGTTCATACTCTGGGTTGGACAGAAATATTCTCTTCTAAAAATCAGCATTTGAAATACATCTGTGAGTGTGAGTCTGTGTGTATGAACTTAAATATTTGTAAGAGCTTAAAGCAGAACATCTCCTACTTCATACTGATTCATCCCGGGTTCAATCTTGTGTCCCTCAGCATAACTCAGGGACCGTGTTGAATCCTTTGGATCTGTACTTCTAGCAAAAGTTTTGCTCAGCTCCAGTTGGTTCGTGATTCTGCTTTATCTCCAGTCAGTGGGTTTGAAATATAAAGACTCCTTCATCAGGGCTCTGATGCCCAGACCCCCATGTAGGCTGTGCTTTCTAACTCCTTCTTACTGAGCATCTACTACTATCTCTATCACATCAAACACATCCAATTACACACAAATTAAGATTTAAACAGTGAGAGTAAAAGTGATCTTTTAAATAATTAAAATTGCACACTCAAAACACACACTTCTGTCTCTGACTCTTACATCCATGTTCTAAATATCAAGGCTGATTACGATTCCCTTTGTCTTGCTTTCTGGGTCTTCTTGGTGAAAGGCTCTCAGTGGTTCAGGGAAGTCGGGCAAAGAACAGTGCAAACTCTTGTTTTAGGTGCTTAGTCTCACCATCATAACCTTAACAGTGAAAATAGTCTCCAAGCTGGTTTTCCTCCAGGAGGTGTGTGGGAAGAAGACATCACAGGGTCGGGAAGGTGACAAAGCCACCGAATCGTCACTTGAAGAGTAAAATTTCCTAGAATTTAGTCAAGATAATTATGGACGATTTTAGCGTGGTTCAATAACACAGTTACAGTCAATGCAAGTACGTGTGGTGCAAGTAAAACAGATTTTCAGGGGCTTCTTCTCTAGATTATTCTCCTAGAACATCCATTTCTCTCCACGCGGGTCTGTGCAGCTATGAGGCGTGTGCCGGCCTCACAGCACTTGCATTGCTGCAGGGCCCTCAAAGAGACTTGCTTCAGCTTGCTGTTTCCTAGAATTAGGACAAGGGAGTGACCGCAGGGATAAATGGCTGTGGTCGTCATGCCAAAAATAAACAGTAGTCTGTTTTCTGGCATACTGAAACATACTATCTCTATGACAATGCCTATAAAATACAAGATGAAGAGGAAGATAAAAGATATTAAAACTTTCATTGCTTTCATGTGTGCTTCTGTACTGGGGTCTCGGGGTCCAGTGACCTTCATTTGCATACGCCTGTTGTGTCTCCAGAGGGAAATGATTAACAAGAAACATGTAACCAGGCAGAGTGTAAAGAGAAGAATGACTCCTAGGTTGACCAAAATCTGCTTCGTAAAGAACATACTTTTTGGCATGTTGAAGTCCCAGGTTGTATTTCCACTCCGCATTCTGTTATCATTAATAATCCTCACAATTTGTGGAAAAGTAAATAACCATGAAATAAACAAGGATCCCATCCGAAGGTGAAGAACCCTATTGATCCTACCCTTCAGCCAGAGAAAAATATGGTGGGAAAAATTTGCTATCTTCAGGAAATAGAAGATACTGAGGCTGGTGGCAAACCAGATACTTGATTGGTTGATAATTATCCATGAGTAACTAATAAAATCAATTAGTTTGCCAGAGTAATACATATCTGGAGAGAATAGCTTTATAAATCCATCTGTAATTATTAACAATATCAGAAGAATTCTGGAAGTAGCTAAGCCAGTGAGAATAAAGCCAATCATCGAAAACTTTTTGTTCTTCACACAGTCTACACAGTTGACAAGTCCAATAAATCCATTCCCTAGAACTCCCAGTACTGCTTCACTGCTATAAAAATGAGGAGGCCTTCCAGTATGCTTATCATATCTGCCAATTCCTAGTATTGCTCCTGTTACATTACACTTAGGTTACCTGCTGCAGAATGAGACGAACGTTAGCCGCTTGATGGAAGAATTTTTTTCTTCTCTCTCATTCCATAAAGACTTAAATATGCCCCTAAAATGCCTTGTGATGGAATCAGAAATGTCTTCATGGAGACCACCTCAGTTTCATCTATAACTTAGCGAGTCTGGGGAACACGTGTTCAGACTGAATGCCTACGTACGATTTGTGAAGATGCAAATGAAAGTTTCTGTTTCATGGATTTCACTTATCCTCCTGTGAGACTATTTTGCATCTGTTAACCTGACTTGTGGAGTAGGAGTGTCAAATGTATCCCCACAAGAAACAGAACAGAAACAAAAATTTGACCTCGTCCTTTTAAATATCAACTACAGGGGCTCCTGGGTGGCTCAGTGGGTTAAAGCCTCTGCCTTTGGCTCAGGTCGTGATCCCAGGGTCCTGGGATCGAGCCCCGCATCGGGCTCTCTGCTCAGCAGGGAGCCTGCTTCCCTTCCTCTCTCTCTGCCTGCCTCTCTGTCTACTTGTGATCTCTGTCAAATAAATAAACAAAATCTTTTAAAAAAATAAAAATAAATATCAACTACAACCTCATCGTTTGGGTTGTATTTATGACCGTTTAAACCTATATAAAGGAAAAACCATTTATAGAGGTGGCAAATGAATTTAGCCAATGTAGACACTTGCTCTGAATAAGTAGAGGCATAAACACATTTTTGTCATTTTCCTGATAATTCAGGCAAAACACATTTTTCCATATTTTTCAATATAAAAAGGACAATAGAGATTATGACTCAGTTATATAGAAACACTGAACAATTGCCACTTTGTGTTAGAAATGGACTGATCCAGCGGGCATAAAATCAGTAAGGACATAGCTGGAATTCAATAGGATATAATTGACATCTATAGACTACTTCATCCAACAACAGCAGATTATACATTTTTCTCAAGCGCACCTGGAACATTCTTGAAAATAGACCGCCTTCTGGGCCACAAGGTACACCTTAACAAGTTTAAAGAGTAGAAATTATACAGCATCTGCTTTCAGACCAGAATGGAATTAATAATCAATAACAGAAAGGAACTGGAAAATCCCCAAATACAGGGAAAACAAACAACACATTTCTAAAGAACATGTGGGTCAAAGAAATAATCCTAAGAGAAATTTAAAGTATTTTGAACTAAAGAAAATGAAAACACAACTTATCAGATTTGGGAGATGCAGGGGAAGCAGAGCTTAGAGGGAAATAGATAGCATTGAAAGCATATACTAGACAAGAAGAAAGATCTATAATCATCATCTAAGCCTCCACCTTAGGAAACTAGAAAAAGAAGAGCAAATTCTATCCAGTAAGCAGAAGAAAAGAAATAAGAATTTGAGCAGAAAACAATGAAACCGAAAGCAGGAAATCAATGGACAAAATCAATTTTAAAAATGCCGCTTCCTTGAAAGATAAATAAAATTGATAAACTTCTTAGGTTAACAAAGAAAAAAAAGAGAGGAGACAAATTACTAATATCAGAAATGAAAGGGGACATCACCAGTAATGTCATAAAGATTTTTTGTAAAAATCAAAATGAAATCTGGAGAGTAGAGAATTTGTTTTTGGTTAGCATTACTAAAAGTTATGATTTGATTTTTATATGAATCAGAGTACCTGCAGTTAAGACACATCGACTCAAACTCATTATACACACATGCTGCCACAGATAAAGATTTTTTTAATTGACTTTGAGCTACCAGGAAAATTTCCAATGCAGTTCATCTTCATTTGACACATTTGGTATGAAAACAATTATTCTATCGACAAACATTTATAACTGCTCTGACATTATCAGATGCTATTTGGGGATGCTCTTAGAACTAGGGTGAACTCGTTCTGAGAGTAGTTCAATGTGTGGAGAAAGTTTGTTTCCCATACCACCAACAAAAAACTCTCCAGACATCAAGAGTTCTACAATTCAGTTCAATTCTCACACTATTTACTAGGAGATGTCAGATTCCAGAGGGTCAGGGCTTGGTCCTATACGACTACCTCCCTCTGCCCCTACTTTAGACACCAGTCACTAGCCCAGGCTATTACCTGGGGCTCTGAACTAACTCTAAATCAGAGAGATTCCCATAACCTCCTCCTTGGATTTTGATGAACTTACTAGAGCAGCTCACAGAACATGGAGAAACATTTTACTTACTACATTACTGATTTATTAAAAAAGATATGACTCAGAAACAGCTAGATGGAAGAGATGCATAGGGCAAGGTTTATGGAAAGGGTGCAGGGCTCCTGGGACCTTTCCAAGAGGGCCACTGTCCCTGAAGCCCCAAGCGTTTACCAAATGCTGAATCCTATCCTTTGGAACTGGAAAATAGTGATTAACACATGGGATACCTTCTTACATTATTTGATAAATAAATACTTTTTTTAATAGGTAATTAAGAATATTAATAGATTCAAGTGACCTTGATGATGAAACACTTCTTGGAAGGTAAATAAAAATTCCATTCAAACATTATTTTCAATTATATTATTAATATAAGTGCTCTCAAATTTTATTAATATTAATAATAACAAGAATTTTACAGACTATGTCAGAAATACCTGCTTTGATCATATGCTCAAATTCTTTGATAAAATATGAAATGTATCATACTACTATGCCTATATTTTTTTCTACTAAGTGTGTGGGAGAAGAGGAGCATATAATTATTTCATTTAGTTTTCTTATTAAAATGTTGGAAAATAAAAATACATTTGATTGAGTCTGTATAAGGAAACACTAGATACACAAAACAATTAAAAATAATTATTTCTGGAGTTGGGCTTCAGGGGTTTCAGTCTGGGTTTATTTGAATTTACACTGAAGATGCACTTTCAAAAATACAAAAATACTGTAATATTATAATTTAAAATAAACATATATTTTTGTCTCCCACCCATGGTGCCTGGTTCACAGTTCCCAAAACCCTTGGAACTTCCTAAGTGATAAGAACAGTGGAAGCATCTTACATTATAATATATAGTTTTTTGTCCTCAGTTCCTGAAATCACTTCAGAGCCATAAAGGTGAAATGAGGGTCCTGTTATAATAAGCCCCTTTCAGCAACCGAGTTTATGTTAAGGAACTGACTTTTGGAAAGCTGGTGAGGATAGAGGTTGGTTGCAGGGAAATCAACCAGAATTAGAGGGTGGAAACTTTCAGTCCCATCCCCTGATTTCTGGGGCAGAGGGATTAGAGATGGAGGTGAAGTTAATCACCAACGACCGATCATTTAATCAATCATGCCTATATAGTGAAGCCTCCATAAAACACCAAAAAGGATGGGGCTTGGAGAGCTCCAGGCTGGTGAATCAGAATGCTTCTAAGTGCCACTGTGCGGAGTCCCACGTTCCACAAGGACAGAAGCTCCTTGCTCAGGACCTCATCTGCCTATCTCCCCATATGACTTCTTATTTGTATCCTCTAATGTCTTTTGTAATAAACCGGTAATCTGCTGAGGAAACTGGTTTCCTGAATTCTGATGAGCCATTCTAGCAGATTAACAGACCCGGAGAAGGGGCTTGTGGAAACCCCTGATTTATAACCAGTTGGGTCAAAGCACAAGTAACAACATGAGCCTGGGATTAGCATCTGATTGGCAGTCTGTCTGGTGGTACTGAGCCCTTAGCCCATGGGACCTGATGCTGTCTCTGGGTAGAGAGTGACAGAACTGAGTGAAGAAGTGGGTGGTACAGGTGGTATAGGAAACCTCTCTCCCTATTCCCCCCACCCCCCAACACACTGGAATTGGGTGTCAGAATCAGTAAACACATACGCACAAGATTTCTCATAGCAGCATTGTGTGTAATTGCAAAATATTGGAAACAAGTATAAACATAAGAACGTTGCTGAATCCATTCCGGTACTATGAAGCCATGAAAAAGAATAAGAAATAATTTTATAAATGGATGAAGCAGTCTCTTACATAGTATAAAATTTTAAAAAAAAGTGCAAACTATCATTCGTATAAGAAATGGGGAAAAGGGTAATATGTACATATCTTTTTTTTTCTTTAATTTTTTATTTTAAGTAAACTCTATTCTATACATGGGGCTTGAGCTCACAACCGGGAGATCAAGAGTCACATGATCTACAGACCGAGACAGTCAGAGGCTCCATATTTGTTTACTTTTTCAAAAACACAAATAGGAGGGGCAGTCCCTACAACCCAGCAGCGACCTGAGGAGGTGTCCCCTGGTGGTAGGGCAGCCCCCTCGCCCTCTGCTAGCACCGCAGACCCGACTGCGCCCCACACTCCACTCATCCCAGACGGCGACCCGCCCTCCTCCCCCGAGCCCCCAACTCCCCCAACTCCCATCCCCCGTCACTGCAGGACAGCGATACACACATCTCAGACCCCTGCCCTCCATCCTGGGACCACTTCCATTCATCCGGGCAGACAGCCCACACACCCCTGTCCCCCGCTCCTGGCCCTGGCAGAGGTGATGCCCAGGAGAGCCCCCGAGGTTTGCCTGGGGCACGCCTGGGGCAGGCGGCTTGAGCTCAGCTCCCTTCCTGTTGATCTTGAGGGCACACTGAAAACCTGTCCACCTCCTTAAAGCCTGGTTTCCTGCCCCTTCTCTCCACTGCTGAAATCACCCCCAGGCCCAGTGATTGTGGACCACCTTGGAAAGATCAGGAATTCTCCAAAGTTGGTGCAACATTTAAATCAATTTATGAGTCACCACGGTCATTCCTGCCATTCATTGGTGAACCGCTGTACTGAGTGAGGATGAAGGAGCAAAAGTTATCCCTTGATTTTCACGCAATTTGGGGCTCTGTGCTTTTCCAAAGCATTTTAAGCAGCATAATTAAAATAAACAGTGAATTTTGGATCACTGAAAAAAAAATTAAATTTAATTTAAAAAAAAAAGAACCTGATACTCTCCTATAAAAAAAAAAAGTGAGAAAAACAAACAAAATA